AAAAAACTGCCGCAGTGTGCTGTTAATTTTTTTCCACAATATTGACATTTGAGTTTGACACGCGTTACTCCCACACTAAAATCACTTTCAATATTAACAATTAGGCGTAGCGCTTTTAGAAAAAAAATGCGCGTATATAAATGTCGCAATGAATAACTGATATACTAAAAACTTCAGAGACAACTATAACATAGAAACACCACAGAACCTTATTCTTTTGTTTGAGGTTGCTCAGAGCAGTGGAATATCTGCGGTTTTTGGCGATTATAGACCTGGACCGTTTTGGCTAGAAATATCATTTATTGGCGCAAATTCAGGCAAAAATTTCAAAAATAGTCGTGAAAGGGCAAGTTTTCTAAATCACTTCTATTTTAAAAATCGCAATATGGGAAAGGAATGTAAGATAAAAGATGAAGATAACTTTGTTTCGAGTCATTTTCGTAGCATACAAATTTCTGGCTCTCATACGAGAGAACTTGTATCATCTAAAACGTCAAGAGATGTACAGCGGCAGCATACATATTTTTACACTTGCAAATAGAACGGCGTGACGTAATGCCGACGTAGTTGTGATGATGCACATTATGTTGAAATTTTTTGTTGCCAGCGCAGAAGACAGTGGGGAGATTCTTCTATATCGTACGTAGCATGACCAAATTTGAACGGGTTTTTCTGCTATCACTGCATTTGTAGACTCTAAGTGCGTAAGGTAGATCAGGTTAACACTAATTCTTCTACTGTCTAGCCAAATCTTGACCCATTAAGCCGCAAAACGACCGTGATTCAGCAAACATTTTTTTGTTGTACCAACCAAAAACGAATTAACTTAAACCTTACAACGAACTATTGTTTACAGACTATCGGCGCCATTTGCTTTGTGCCAATCTTCATCCTTCCCTGCTCTTTCGCCCTTGCTTACGTGTACTTCTTACTACCGGAGACGAATGGCAGAGACACTCTGGACATCGTCCACGAGTTAAAAAAGAGGGATGGAATAAGTGATTTAACAAATGCGTAACGTTGGCGTCCAAACAATTCGAATGCAGTGAGATCTCAATTTTCACACATTGTACTGATTTTCAAATTGATTTGTCTGTATAAATGCAATACTAATAATAAAATATTTATCTGATGTAGACGCATTATTAATGACAACATGCACAATTATTTCCAACAAAGTGAAAGAATTCGATAATAAGTACTAAGCCAATACAGATCTTAAATTCCAATAACATTATTATTGATAAATCAGGAAAAAAAACTAGAGCTAATCTCAAAGCGACGATAATTCTCATATACCGCGCATCAAGACTGTGATGAAATCGAGCGTTTCACATGAAACAGAATTAGGACGCAGAACTTACATTGAAATCACAGTAAGACAATACACGGAAACCGTTTGATGACCGTGTGATAGAGAGGAGAAAAATGGTTGCTGTGTATACAAGACTTTCAGGCGATTAATCTGACAAATAACCCGTTGAAGAACCGGCGAAGATTGTGACCCATCAAAAAGCGCATTTTGATCTCAGGCACTTCACGGAAGAATCGGCTACAACCAAGTAATGGTGTACAGTAGACTCAGCAATGTGATGGGGACGAGAAGTTTGGGCGAAAAACGTTTAGCATCGTTTGATTGATATTCATACGATCGCGCTAGAATAGAAAAGTCGATAGAACATCTGCCAGAACATGAAAACCTGAGATATGTAGGACACCTACCTACATCCTCATGTACAACAAAT